TATACAAAATAGAGGGGTTCAAAATGGTTCAAAAAACATTCTTGAAAAGTTCGGCTTGCTCCTCGCAAAGGCTCGTCCAGCCATCGCAGCGTGTTGTGGGAACCCACCTGAGCGAATGACCAACACGTGGCCCCGGCAGGGACGGAGTGGTCCGCAGAACGCCGCGGGGGACGCGATCATACAAGAACTCCTGGCATTACTACTATATAGTAACAAGAAGCTCTACTAGTAACAAGGGCATCGCTACTACTAACAAGGTCAGGAGCTATTCATAAGGCCAGGAGCTACTAGTAGCGTCCGAGCGCTCGGTTCTTAGCGATGCCCTTTGTTGCTAGTAGCATCCTCTCAGTCCAGAAGATTGTATGATAGGCTTCAACTGACCTGATATGATCTGATGATCTGATGTTTGCCTCATTCATTATATCCCATATTATCCCATATATCACATGTATGGCAGAAACAAACACATCGACATGTGGGACACCACCGTTGTTTCAGTGCTGACCATTGGACAGATCGAAACACCATTCGATTTGTTGGCTTGTGGAACTCTACATGTCCGACTCACGGAGAAAGTCGGAAAACCCACACACCCAGAATCTTCAGATATGTGATGATCGTTTGCGTTCGTGTCCGGATTCACAAGCAAACAAGCAAAGCTCAACCATTGGCACCCTTTTGGAAAAAAAAAACATGACACCCTCCATGAATGGGTCAGCTCATCATTGTTTCTCAGATGGATGCCCTTGGCAAGCAAAAAAACGAAGCATTTGTTGGGGCGGGCGCGGGGCCGGTCTTGCAGCTGGCTTGTCTGGCCCATGGACATCGAAGGCCCTGAGCTTCCCAACCAAAGCATTGAGCTCTAGTAGCTCCCAGCTGGAGGGAGGCACCACCCTCAGCTTGCTGCCAAGTGATCGCCGTCCGGCTTTTTGGGGCGGTCCCATGGATGGGGACAGTCTGACAGTTGGTGGACGCCAAAGCGACGGGTCCAAAAACCCTCACACACCCGAACAAAGCCGCCGTCCGGCCCGAACCATGCTGTGGTGGACGGTGGAAAAAACAGATTCCGAAGAGACTTCGACCCGAGCTGAGGTCGTTTTAGGGGGGAGCAGTGGCTTCGCTCCCAGAGTTGATTGGATGGCTTCTGGATAGAACATGATATAACACGTCTGTGCACATGATGGGAACATTTGTTGTATGTTTACATATCTATTTGTTTATTATAATTTATAATAAGAGTTATCTTTGAGGCCCAACCGCACTCCAACCTGATGTCTTTGAGATCAGGAAGATGTTTTGACAGTTTTGGGACTTCCGGGTTGCTCAGTCTTCCACCTCAAAACAGAACGCTTGGACGTCTGGAGCGGAGCCCGTCACAGCGCTTTTTTGGAACGACTGCCGTCAAGTCTGATGGTCTAATTGTGAGTTCAACTGCACGCCAATCTGGGAGCCACCAGCGACGTCGTACGGCAACAAGTTCGTTCGAAGGAACCCTACCCGTGATTGACATCTGGTGCGTTTCATCCTTTGCTCTTGGCTGCTATGTGCATTGAACTATCAGGATACCATTCAAGCAAATGCTCCTTGTGCAGCTCGAGCTTCACCAAATATCCTCCCTCAACGTGGATGGCATCTGCAAATTCATAAAACATATGAAGTTCACGTTCACCTTTGACCAGAGTTCTGTGCCCAACTTGTGATAAAAGAAATTGCACCCCAATATCCCCCCAAACAACGCCTCAATGCCCCCCAAATGCCCCCCCCCATACGCACGTGGCGTCCCTCACACCGGTCATGAGCGCCACAACTTTTTGGGCCACGACGATCCATCGGTCCTTTCTTCGATTGGGTCACTGTGGGCGTCACAGAGTTCCCAAGCACCTGGCACTGGCCCACCTTCATTTAAGTTTTAGCCTATATTGCTGAACCATGCTGAACCTAACATCGAAAGTCCTGGATGAGGTATTTGCTTTGATCAGCACCTATACCTATAGTTCAACTCGTGGAGTGTGGTTCTTCCTCCGAAGGGCTTTTTTGAGGGAAGCGACAAACCGGCATGAGGAAAACAGCTCTGCTGTATACTCGTGCCAGTCCATCCCCCACGTGGGTTGTGTGAAAAAACATACGGGAAATGGGTTGGGGCTCTGGGCACCGGAACATGTTGCCAGAGTGTGACAAACGTGTTGGGTATATCGCTATATCACGGCATATCCAGCGATGATGATTCACTTCGACGGAACAACATGAATGGCAGCAAATGCTCATTTCTTCAACCTCATGGCTTCGAGTGAGCCAAAGCCAAACCTTTAATATCCAGTGCCCCGATGGGCCTTCAAAAAGTATATGGTCTGCTGAACAAAGGCTCTAAGCCATCTCACCTGCATCGAAACGAGCTCTTTGCTCGTCCTGCAAGTGACTTCGACCGGTGCCAACCACGGGCTGTCGGGCCTGCATGGATTCAATGGAATCGTTGGACGGAGATTTCGGCCGTATTCAGATTGCCTGCATTCCAAGAACAGTGTATATACCTAGAACCTGAGTGATCCCTGTCTTGATTGGAACAAACCAAATTCCTTCTGGGTGGTTGGTGGTCCAAAATAGAGGCCATTCAGGTTCTAGGTACGAGTATGGAATTGCACAATGGCTCCTTAGTTTCCCCTACAAAAGGTTTGTCCACTTCCATGTTGAGTCAGAGTGTGCTATTTGTCCCCACCCTGTGATGAAACAGGTCTGTCTGACCAACAATGGCCTCATTAAACCCAAACAATCAGAAATCCATGACAGCCCTGTTCTTCCATGACATCAGGGGTTTTTTCATTGGAAACTGCGGTGGGTCGACCATGTCCATCCGACTCCGAAGCACCAGGTTTGTCATCTATCGAGCGCTCTGTTAGGCCTGGAGATGCCAGGAGACTGAGAAGAAAGAGCGAAGTAAAATAGCGCGACTTGCGGTCAGTTTCTCCATCTATCTTCACACAGCTCACTGGTCGACCGATCGATGCGCATGACTGTCTTTCGAAAGGCGGTCCACCCAATGTGCTCATCTTCTTACGCTTCGCTACATGTCCAGAAGAGTTGAAACATGTTCGATTCGCTAGATTCACCAAACACCGACGAGATCGGTCCACGAAACGGTCCGGTGGGAAGTCAAGAAGTGCTCCAGGCGGATGGTCCGAAGCGCAGGAGTTGCCCCGTCTCGTTGCAAGGAACAAATGGAACAACTGGATGAGTCACCCAATGGACCAGCTAGGTTTCAAAAACATAGGTTGTTATCTAAATTTAGTAGATTTAGCTAAATCGTAGTTCGACAAAGTTAAATATTAAGTAATAGTTAAAACTAATATATGTGTTCACCTTTTGTTCTAAAAAAAATAACTGAGTTTCAAAAATTTAACTAAATCGTAAAATGTTAACTAACACTAGTGTTTTTCTTTTTAGGAGTTAACCGTTCGAAGTTTGTTTGAAAGATCGAAGGGTGCACTTCTAAGTTTACTTGAAACTTCGAAGGGTGCACTTCGAAGTTTACTCGAAGTTTCGAAGAAGTTTCTTCCAAGTTTGATCGAAATTTTGATTGCTCCCAGCTATGGAAGCCTTCAATTTCCAGACATTTTGTCGCGTGTTTTATTTTTATTGTTTAAAGAACATAGCTATATTCAATATTGTTCAAAAAAATAACGAAAACATAACTTAGCTATGTTCTAGGAATTTTACGTTTTAGTTAAACTTGTTGGAATTATCTATAAAAGTACTTTTTTAAAAGCCGGTCTTGGGCATGATGAGTCACAGTCATGTTCGGCCAATATATAGGACATTATAGGAACACACATTAATATTATAGGACCTGTAGTGTTCCACTTGAATTGGTTGATCCTGAAGGTTTCCGTTGCACAACTGGCTCCAGCTTCCTGTCTTCTCAGTACGATCAGTGCCATTGGGGGGCCATTATGGCCGTAAGTCTCCCCTGGCCTGGGGGTGCGATACAAACCACAAAGAGGATGAGATCATGAACCATAGGGAAACAAAGTGTTTCAACAAAGCAACGGCCTTTTTAAGCTTTGTCTGAGTCTAAATCCTTTGAAGTCCATGTACTGTAGATACTACTATAGATACATACAGGTTGACAGGGGTCCTTCGGGCCAGGAGCAGGCATGGTTAAAATGATAAGCCTGAATTTCACGCCTGACTTGAAGGATCTGTTCAACACTGGAACTTTCTTGCAAAAAGCAGCCAAAATCGGACAGGTCAAAGGTCAGGCAGCCAACCAGGCACCAAAAAAGACAGTCCGTTCCAAGGCCATTTGTCATTGGTCCGATACCACAACTTGGGGTCTGAACGAACATCTCACCTTGAACAACCCATGAGGATGTGACCCGCGAGTGCCTTGCGTTCTTCTGTGCCGGCTGCGTTCTGACCCTGAGAGGTCACGATTCAAGGCAAAGATTGTGCCCGCTGCTCAGCGGAAGTCACTTTTCCGTGGTTGGAGCATCTCTCCTAGCTAATGAGTCTATGCCGCGTCTATGCCTGAATGCTGGTCAAATCCTTGCGACTGGCCATGTTCAGAACATGCTTCGGACTCTTTTGGAGTTGCAAGCAATCTGAAGAAATGGGTGTGTGGCGCGTGCCACACACATGTGTATCCCAAAGAGCCAACCCATACACTTCACCCGTGGTCATCCCAAGGCTCTGCGCCAGCTCTTTAAGACATCACAAAATGCCCAAATCGGATTAGGATTAAACACTTGAGTAGAAGCGACAATCCAGCACTGCCTCTCGTTCTCTGAAAGAACCGTGGCATACCATGTCAGGATCTGCGCAAAAGACTGATGTTCTTTGGCAGCATGTTGTCCATGGCTACCACTACAGCTCGTGTCCGTAATGCTTTCGCTTTGAAATTCCCCCATCGACTGACGGCCAAGCAAGCCTGTTCTATCACGCTTGGCATCCAGAACTTTCGGCTCCAGCTTGCCTCCGATCTCTGCGTAGCTTCCAGACCTCCGAAGTTAGACCTCAAGCTCTGAGTGACCCTCCGAATCCACCTCCAACCGACCGTCCTCCGACTGGCAGGGCGACTCCACCAGTGGCGGCCGAGGTCCGCGTGGCGCGGCCGCGGCCGCGGTCCGCGCGCGGGAGGCGGAGGTCCGCGGCCGCGAGGCGCGGCCGCGGAGCGGAAGGAGGGCACGAAGAGTGAGGCTGCTGAAGCCAAAGAGCAACATGACGGAGGCCAAGACTAGGCTACCTCGGTGTCAGCTAGAGACATATGAACGCAATCCAAACTTGATCTGGGTTTGGCTCAAAAGAAGGAAACTTATGTTATATGCAAAACATTGCAAAACTTGAAAAACTCGTGCAACAAAAAAGGCTATAGGAAACATGGTACCGTCCAAAACCTGCCGGATACTTGGTTCCTTTGAGTCGAGCTGCATAGAACAAAAAGCAATCTAAACAAATCATTGCACCGTAAAATCATCGTCCTGATTGGTCCCTCTGTGAGTTGCTCTGTCGAATATCCCACCAATCCAATCGCAAACAGCGATGACTTAACTGGACAAAGAATCCACTCTTGACTGAGACAGGTTGAAGGCCAAGCAGCACTTCTCACCTGTCTGAGAATCCAGGAAGGACATCGAAATCCAAAGGATGGCCAGGGCCCCCACGGCTGGCACCACCAAGACTGCTGCGGCCAAAGGGCGCCCCAAACACCGCAGCCGGCCCATGCCTTGCCGAAACCCGTGGATCGACCGAGCATTGGCCGTTCGCCTTTTGACAGGTCGACAGTAGCTTCTTGTTACTACTAGTAAGGCACCTGTTACTACTAGCGTGGCACTTGTTTCTACTAGCGAACCTTGTTCCTACAAATGATACCATCCTGCACCTTCCCAGGAGCGCTCTATCTGCAACCCCCAATATCCCCAATAGAGAGTCTAGCACGAAAAGGAGCCAAAGGACAGGCATATTACAGGTCTCCGCATAGACAGCATCCAAACATCAAGCACATCAGAGCCCTCTTCCCGTCCAAGTCTGGGGCCCTACTGGCCCTCTTGAGCCAACCAAACCACATCTAGAACCGTTGGATCAAACCTAGATCCACATCCGTACCACCATCCGCACCGACGGTCGCGGTCGCTCTGTCGGGATACCCAGGTAGCAGGCGGCCATGACGCTCCAGGCCGATGCCAGGGCTAAAACGGCCAGCTTGGCCCACGGCGCGAGGGCTCCTCAAGCGGGCGACATCGATGTGGGGAACAAGCCTGGGCCACCTGGGTGTGTGTAGGATGTGTTTGGGCAATTCGTGTGCTCCAATAGATGGTTTTTTGAGTGGTCTTTCATTATTGCTGCTGGTCATTGGTGCATGTTCTCTTTTTGGCTGGTCTCCTTGCGTTTCAATGGATGATGTCTTTGCGTCCCAAGATGAAATTTTGCATGTCTCAAGAAACTGCTAGCTTGGAGATGTGTGGAGGGGGGGCTCAGATTGACAGTGCAAACGTGGGTTCGTGTTGGTGGAGACTTTAGACATCGACCATATCCAGTGCGGGTGATCATCCAAGAGCCCTCCCGTGGTTGATTGTCATCAGTTGCTGCAGTTGAATTGGTCAAGCCAAACAAGTAGGACTCCAGTGACTCCAGTGACACCTAAGAAAGGACACGTCGGACATCCCCCCCCAAAAAAGGGCCCCAACAATCCCCAACATGTTTTGCTTCATCTTCTTTCTCCATCGAAGATGAACACCATTTTCACCCTCGCCCTTGCCGCGGCGCGGAGGGCGGCGTCCAAGGAGTCATGGGAGGCCATGGCGGGCAGTCGCTCGATGAGCATCGGACAGGTCGAGGCGACCGCCACCTGCCGCCGTTTGCCGTGGCGCGGGCGCTCCGTTTCGGGCGCCGTCTGTCCGTGAGTTGGCACCAGTCTTAAGAAATAAACGTGTTGTATAGTTACAGTTGTGGTGATCCCAAAAATCCATCGACCACTAGACCACAGCTAGTGTAGACTCTTCATTAAACCCCCCATATAAAGAGCTTTCTCAATCAAAATGGGGGGTGTCATTCATCAAGAGTTAATTACCAGCCGAGCTGCATGAAACGGATATTTGGAAGTGAGTAAGGATCGCTTCGTGTCTTGCACTCGATGTCGAAGTCGATCTTTCACGAGGGAATCAAAGGCCAAGGTGCTGCCAAACCATTCCTCTTGGATTTGCTTCAGGAACTGAAAGAATAACTACATGTTTTGCTGTATAGCCCTTGTTCGGCTCCAGCCACATGCTCAGAAGGTAGTTGGAAAACCCAAATCAACTCCCACCATCTTCTCTGGAGGTAGCTGGAGCCCTAGGGTAGATTCCAGACCTAAAGGGGATTCACTGGGGAAAACAAAAAACCACTCTGCAATGCCAGGATTCCCGGAGTTGCTGCAGAACCAATTCACGATCACATGGTATGACCCGGCCAGTGCTCGGATCCAAGTGCTTTAACGAGCAACAGGAACCTGCTGGGGCTCCAACAATCCCAACCATCCCCTTTTGAAAGATCACCCTTATGGGTACATTCTATATCAGGAGCCCCCCCAAGCCAAAGGGATACCACTCCAAAGCCAAAAAAAGCAGCAGGATCATCCCATGGGAGTGAAAGAACAAAGCTATAGGAATTCCAGCTAGAACGGTGGAGTCTTAAATGCACAATCCCAGGATCTTCGGGAGGTCATCGTTGATCATGTTTGTGTCCCATGAACTGGGATGCACACTGGGTGAGGGATGTCTTGGTCTCCATTGTGTGGAAGTTATCGCCGAGGTTCTTCCCTTAACAAAAATCATCAGCGAAAAGACACCTGAAATCCTGTAGATCCCTGTAGATCCTGTAAGTTCTTTGGTGATCAAGGCCCATAGGCTCCGTCAAACGATGCCAAAGGGCCTGCACATTAGGCCCGTGATTTGCGTACTATGTGCAGCTTGCTTTGCTGCAAAAAATATGCCCTTGACCAACTTTCTTCTGTGACTCAACCAGTAGGCCTTAAGAAGGAGAATGAGCAGGCATAAGTGTCGTTACAAAGGGCATGGATTCCTCAGCAAATTCAAGTAGATGCTGCTAATTGGTAGCTGTTGAAGATATCTCTCGAAATTGTACCAACTAGTTCTGGTGTTGAACACTTGGACGGGTGAACAACCTAGAGCAACTGGTGCTCTTACGGTACAATGATCAAACCAATCGCAATCACCAAACATATAGGCAATAGGAGCAACCTAACCCTGTAGAAAAAATAGACTCTTAAATTCAAAAAACAGTGTTTGGACATACAATGGCATACACAATGCCAAAAGAACATGCCTTACTGTGGACAACAAAGAACCAAATATATGTTTCACTCACAACCAGGATTTGTTCCTGGACATTGTATCTTGTGTGTATATATTAATGTATATATATACATATGATTTACTGCTTCTTTTGCCATGTGCAATGTACCAACTTCACACAAAGAACAAAACCCCAAAGCCGAAGCGTAGGTTTGGGGGAATCTCTCTCCCCGGGCTCCAACTAACCCTAAGATGGCGGGACGTTTCTTAGTGTCACCCCAGCCACAGTGCCGTTTGAGCCAATGCCTGTCCAGGCCACATTCGGCCTTTTCAATGTTGAAGGACTCCAACTGCTCAATCAGCTGTCCCAAATCTTCTGCGAGTCCAACGCCTGCATAGATCATGATCCTGCACGTCCCACCAATCCCAAGCACCGTCCGGATCCCCGGTGGAGCATGGAGCATCGCTGCGAGGCGAAGGCCGTGGGCCGGGGCTTTAGGTCCATTTGTCATGAAGAAATCAGAGTGTCAACAACGCAGAGTCACCAATTTTTGATAGAGAGTCTCCAACCACTGGGTTTAAGTTGATTTCCCCTCTTGCTGGCCTTTGAAAGGTCTCCCTATTCCAACAAACAGTACGTAGAGTAGAACCTCAAACTCAGCAACTGTTTAGAGGATTTGACAGGTGGATATCAACTGCATGTTAACAAGCCTCGCCAACACTCAGGCACCGTGCTCTGTGAGATTTGATTTGATTGTACAGATGGCAAGCTTTATTTCTGAAAAGCATTCGACAATCATGCAGATTCAACAAGCTGAACACCTGGCAACTTTTAGCAAGTCAGTCTCTCCAAAACGTCGCAATACCAAAAAGGCGGCTCCAGTAGAGCAGAACGAAGAGGATTTCCACCACCACCAAGACGGGCGCAGACATCTCTCCGCGGACCAGAATCACGTTCGATAATTGGATGCCCTGACCCGACGAGAGGTGATGAGCGAGAGGAGAACCCGACGCGACGCCCTCGCGTCGTTCGATTGCTGTCTGTTCGCACAAGAAGCTCTTGCAAAGATAAGCTGTTCATAGAAGAACAAGTGAACGCTTCTTTTCTATATACTTGTTCTTCCATGTTCGGAACATAGATACATTAGATAGAGGGAATCTGTGAGCAACTTTAATCCGATCTGGATGTCACGTGGTGTCACTCAGTCTTGCAAGTCGGTTGCGTTAGGGAAGTAGTTTGGCGGCATCGCGGTCTTCAGAAAACGCAAATTGATCAACGTTTGGACGTTGCTATAGTCTTTACAAAGAGATGCAACGGAAATTTCCCTGAAGGTCTGAGAGACCAAATTCTTGGTTGTCCTTCTCCTCCCCCCTGTCCTTACAAGTTTCAGTTGAAAGATAGAATGCATGTTCCACCAATGCATCATATCCAGATACTTCTCCACATACTTATCCATCCCGCCAAGAATGATGCTAGAAGCTGTGACCCTGTGAACCGGCGGCTTGGACCTTTGGACGTGTCCTTGGAATAAGGGTCGAGGGGTCGGTGCCTACCAGCAGTCACGTTCGACGGGGTGCTATCCATGGAGGAAGTCGGGGTGCCCTGCTACTCCACTCACGTAAGGGGACTAAACACCACCCCGACATGTGACTCCTGGTATATTTGATTTTACACTTGAGGGTATCCCCTCTGATCCCCTCCCGCAATCAGCCAACCCATAGTAAGAGGCCAACTATGGCGGGACAGCGCGTGATGCTGGAACAAAGCGTGTGGGGCCATCCCCTGGCCATTCAACGGGGTTTTGCCAAAACTGCCAGTCGAGGTGAACGGCGAGTTCAACAGCCATTAAACACACACGTTCTGAAGTGTTGAGATTCTCAGGTCCTGAGTCACGATGACTAAGAGGAAGTAGAGCATAGAGAGCCTCACCGGCATCATTTCGATGGGCTTCTCCCGATCATGTCTCAAGAAGGTGGCAATCTCGAAGGCGCACCAAAGCCGGGTGAAGACTCGTCGTGACCAAAGAATCGTAAGAGAGTCCGAATGATCCAGAAAGCTCGCCAATCCAAAAATGCCTTTCCTCTTCATCTCCTGTCGAGACACTCGAGATACTCGAACCAGGCAAAGAACGAACTCATGAAACATTGAGACTATGGCCAGGCTTGCCTTTGCATTCACTCATTCCACATTGAACTGGCACCATTTGCAAAAGAATCCAAGATTACGTCAAATACCATTTCAACCATGCAACATCCAAAGAATTACAATATGTTCCCATAAACATCATAAACCACTCACTTAGAAGGCCAGATCACCACTCTTTTGTAACCTTTCCAAATTTCAGGTGACCCTAAGAATTGGGGCCCATGATACACTGCTGCGAAGATGTTGGAACCAAGGGATTTATCAGGCAGGAGTCAGTTGTGTTCTATCACCTCCCATTTGTGTTGGACTCAAATGAGCAAAACTGTTGTCCACATCTTCCGAAGTCCTCATCATGCTGCGCGATGCAGAGTTTATCCAAGAAGACCATCTTCGGACGAAAGAGCCCGGCCCTGATCCGCTGCCAAATGCAAATCACCACCCAAAAGCTGATGACTCCCAGGCTGGATCGAAGCAACACTTCGATGCGCGGGAACGGCGTGTCGTGTAGTCCGGAGAACGAGAACAGAATTCCAAGGAGGATGCTCACAATGGCCGTCGCACATGAAGCGGCTGCCTGAGTCAACTAAGAGAGGTCGGGCTTCGGATTGCGGCTTCTCTACTTCCAAAGTTTGGCTCAGCAAACTGCAAGGCTGACAAAACTAAAACACGCTACCAAAAGCTGATCAAAAGATATCAAAAGGGATTGACCAAATCCTGACTCGAGATAAGCTCTGTTCTCAGTCTCACGGTCGTGGTGTCGGTGTGTATGTGTGTGTGTACCCCTTAGATTGACAGGGGGACTTGTCGTTATGAAGGGGCACAGGCCCATCATGGATACCTGAGCCAACGAAGCTATTCCACGATGGGGGCGGGGATTGATCACCTCCATGTACCTGCGTTAGTAGATACATTCCACTCCAACTGGCCGGCTGGTGTTAGGTACCTCAGGTCTGCAAAGACGCAGTTGTTGTTTTCCTTTGCAGCTTGCGACATGCGTTTGGAGACTTGCACAGTTGGCCGTTGGAGGTTTCATGGTTACACCGCTTTTTTACAATATGACCCCTGGAGTCTTAGGTTTCTCACCCAGGTCGGCGCATGGGATGCGGCATTCATGTTGTACGTACCTTTGTCCTGTGTCTGTGTGATTGTGTGGGGTGGGCGACTTTGCTGGCTGTCGGGCTGGCTGCATGAATCCACCTGCTACTCATGTCATGTTGCGGTGTGGGGCCCCGCAGGGCCCCTCAGGGCCCCTCAGGGCGCACAGAAGGGCGCTCTGGATTTCCACCCTCACATGTCTCACTCGGTTGCAGCGTTCCCGCTGCGATCTCATTGGAAGTGGTCGTGTAACTCACGCACGAGTCAGACGTCGTCGACACCGAAAACGGACGGATCGTTGGACACCGAGTTTTCTCGTCGTTGGGCGCCGTGTCTGAACAATGAAGTCTGCCACGGTCAGAAATGGTGAAGAGATCGTAGGAAGGAAAACCGCACGGTCAGAAGAGCTTGAGCTCGTGTCCCTGTGCACCGATTCGGGATACACACACAAGACAAGGACTTCAAATGAGTACATAGTACTTAGTACATCTAAGGCTTGTTGTGGGGCTTGTGTGTAGACGTGAGACATTGGCCTACTGCGTGGCTTCGAGCTTCCGGGCCTTCTACACCCAACGTTCTTCAACCTCATCCAACTTGATCCATTTGAATACCCGCACATGCTTAAACCGTCTTCAAGTTACACTGTTGAGAAGCATGTACATATAGCCACAAAAAAAATAACAACAACATACAACAACATAATCATTACGCTGAACAGAACCCAAACAAGAAGGCCCAGTGAACTTCCCAGAGCTACATTCTTCAACCGCTCGGAGTGTGTCCAAGTGACACTATTGAAGATCATCAGGAGCGCCAAAAGTTTTAACCATCTTGAGGTCTTCCAGTCGTGGCTGATGAAGGTCTCCAAGCCTTTGCTTCTTCTCAAAACGACCGTGCATTGGTTCATCTATTCGTCCCATGAGACAAGAGTCTTCCGGTGTTGGGCTACGTACAGCCATTTTGGTGTCCCTCAGACCAAACCACCGAAGCCGAGGAACGCTTCACTGGCCGGCTGAGGCTGTAGCAGTCTTTCTCGACATTGAACATGCCCTGCGGAGCGCGCCCCACCCCAGGCCCCCACTGTCTGGTGCTGTCGTCGCAGCACCAGGTTTGTGCGGGGCATTCCAGAGACGAAAGCCCGTCACGTGTGAGACTTTCTTAGACTCTAGGTTGAAATTGGTTCCTCATGCTCAGTCACTTAGTCGAACAATTGAACCAACAAAGACAACTCGTATACTGATGTACATGCCCGGCACCTATCGCAAAAAGCAAAAATAACTCCAACTTATAAAAAGCTCCGAACAAAAACAGCATCCAAGGACAAAAACAAACAAAAATAACATAAGCAAACCTTGTTTTTGCATCGCTTTGCCTAAGGTTTCAATGCTGGCAGTGCAGTCAAGCAATAATACAAAAAGGCAAACAAAAACAAAGAACAGAACTGAGAACATCTGAGAACAACACTGATTATTAACAAAATAGAAAACAACCAAACTGCCACATCCTCGTCTAAAAGCCTCGCCTCATCTGGTGGCTTCAAGTGTGCCCCAAAGCGGCTCAGAAGAAGGTCCAATCGGACGCCATGCAGCAGTTCTGCTTCTAAAGGCACTGACAACTCAGTGCCTGGCCCCGCGCCGGCTCGCGGCTCGCCGGCTCGATCGTCGGGGGGTGGGTCGAGCCGGCAACCGGCTCCAGGCAGAGCACAGAGGGTTCCAGGAACTGGATCTTCACAGTGTTGGTTGATCTTGTATTGAAAAGACCGACAAATGATTGCAAAAAAAGAGTGAAAGGAAGGCAAATGATAGTGCAAAGGAGTACAAATGAGCGGAAATGCGCCGAGGACGCCTTGGGAGGACTCTTAAGGATAGAACTATAGCTGAATCTGGCGACAGGGCCGACATACCTGGATCCACCAGGTGATTCCACTGGACATTGGAGCCTCTACCAAAAACTTGGGCCCCCAGGTGATGGAGTTGACATTCACATCAATCAGCGGCAAGAAAATCACCAGGTGATACGGTGATACTCTGATCCGCAAGACAGTCCGCAAGACAGGTGGTTCAGCAGTATCGAAGGAACATCGAACACTTTGCCCCGCGAACAAGGATACAATCGGATACATGTAAGACACACGCGCTGTGAAGCGCTCTGAGGTTGGAGGCCATCGCTCTTACAAGTACATGTAAAAAGACAAGTGGCACTTGAGTGCAACGAGGATGCGTCACCCCCAGAACAAAAAAAACGTTGGAACGAGCGATCCCCCGGGACGAGAATACCCGACGATTCTGCCGTGTCCAAAGGTGCAATGGTTGGGGCCCTTGCGTATTCTGCGATCAAGATTCTGCAGGACAAGGGTGGAACTTCTGTGGAGTTTCTGTGCGATCGAGTGGAGTTTCTGTACCTATATATATCTGTACTTCTGCTGGACAGTTCCAGGTGGAACCCTTCTCAAACCGCAGGACTTGGCCACCCGATGTTCGGCATCCGTGGGATGACGCAAAGACGTCGCGCCCGTCATGGACCGTGCGTGCAGCAGGTGACCAGGTCATCCAAACACGAACGATGAAGAAACATTTTCTCGTCGTATCCTGCACGTCTTTGGAATTATCGTCTGAATTTTCTTTGGAACCTTACCTTTCAGGACCTTTCATCTTCCCCGTCAATGAAAGTGATCCGAAGTGCCACCCGACTCTCGATCTTTCAACTCAAAACACCATGCATCTTCTGAAGCAGCTTCCCAGCCTGTACTGCAGATAGTGGGGATGCGACCCACACTCCGGCAGGTGGATCCATCATGGGATATTGCGGATCCTACAAATCTGAAAATCCGACTGTTACTCTTTGGATCTTACATCAGATCTCACCCACAGCCACGTGGAAGTCATGGGACCCTCGTTGAAATAATGACTTCTTTTTTGGAGGGTCAAAAAAAGACAGCTGTCTGAAGCTCAACCCTCAAGACCAGCGTCATGCTCGACCTTTCTTCCTTGTTTTGTTTCTCTAATAGCGATGGCCTCGAACCGCTCCAAGCAATGCCCTCCAACTCCAACCTAATTAATAGCGATGGCCTCCCCCGAAAGGCAGCCAAAAGCAGTGGGTGAGTGAGCATCGGAGCGTCGCGAGGCGCTTTCTCCAGTCCTCCAGTTTCTGCACGTCTGGGACTGAGGGAGAGCGAGAGCGCGGAAGACGATCCTGCAATCTCTGATGTGCTAAAGCTGCTCCGCGCTGGGACCCTCCGTTGAGGTTCGGTCTTTGGGGTGCCTTGGGTCTTGGGTGAGTGTCGCTTTGAGGTGCTTGGATTGGAGCCGTGTTCAAAGGTAATCGAACGTACCTTTAAACACATGTCCAAATTTACGCGACTTTAAACACAATTGTCAGTGGAGTTCTGCAGACGCATTTCACTCAAGCTCTGTACACCTCTTCTCAGGCAGGAAGAAGACCTCTGCTACGTGGTATGTATGGACAGAATCAAAAACCGTCTCGAACCATCAGGCCTACACTCATGGGCGTGAGCACACGGTCAAAGCTGCGCGGCGGACCGTCAAATCCTGGCCAAACCGCTGCACGAACTCGGTCCACAAATTGCGACATGTCATGTCGTGCCAAAGGATTTCCATCGAGCCAAGCGAAACGGTTTCCCTTCGCCTAGCAGCTATCTGTATCTAACAACTCCTCACGCCAAATCGCTTCAGGAAGTGCAACCTCTCTAAGTCGGAGTGATGTTGCGTTCGACTCACCCGACCTGAACAACACTACTATCTTGCGGGGGGTGGCCTGACCCCCGCGGAACAAAAAGGACGCCCGACGGCCGACCTGGGATGCCGAAGTCATGCTTTGGGCTCGAAAGTGACTCAGATCCTGCCCGTGTGATGGCCGGCTCTCTGTCTTTGGTGATGCAGGGTTGTTCCAAGAATAAACACATGTCCAAATCCCACGAGTATAGTGCCTTTGTTAACCATTGCCACTGCCAAGTTCATGTGTACATTGAATTCATGACCAGTTCGGACTTTCTGTGGCGGAATGAACACCACTGATTTGAGCGTGTTTTTTTTGCAAAAATCATCTCGCGAAAAAGGCTAGACACCAAGCAACGAAAAATGAATATGTGGATCCTACTTATACGCCATATACACATGCACCATATAACTATACCTTCAACCTCACTTACCTACCTTTTCCTAGGTAACCAGCTTTTGACTTCCAAGTTGCTGAAATACCAGGTATGCTTGAAAAAACCAGGTAATTTGGCTCTTGCCATCAAACTATCACACACCCATTCCCTGAAAAAACGGACTGCATGCCTTTTCCAGCTGAGCTCACCCACGGATCATCCTTGCATCAACCCACTTGACATACGACTGGATAAGATATCGCTGCAATGTCCGGAGCATGGTAGATTTAATGCTCACCCTCCTGTTGAGCCTAGAAGCTCTTCCCACTATATCCTCGTGCTGCTGACAGGCCGTCAGCAGCGGACTGAAAGCAAAACCAACACGCCTTGCATCAGAGTCAAGCTGGATGACCTGGTGGTGCATGGCATGGAGTTTTGTGTATAGTGGAAACAAGAACGGTTTCCCTGCATGCTAGTGGACTGTGGCCAGCTTGTAGTATATTTGCAAAAAGGTTGCTCCAAGCTTTGAAACACGCACCGCCACGACTTTGGGCAACATTGCTGGAGACTCGTAGAGAGTAGAGAACATCACATTGGCACACACCGCGGCTCTAGAAGCCTTTGCCAAAAGTCCCTCAGAATCTGGAGGCAAGCAAGAGATCAAATGGGGAAGCCACAGCAACAAGCTGGTTGTCACTGCCCCCTTGGACCAACAGCCGACTGCTCCGGTGTAGTCGTTGTACGATACCAAGTAAGCAGAAATTTGTCTCACAATGGCCGGCCTGTGATTTGCTTTGCAAAATCTGAAGTAGTGTTCCGTGAGCCATTCCCACTTCTCCGGAAGTGTAGCAACTGGGACTTGGGGCAAGCACACTTGAATGACTGAGCTCGCAAAGGCCTTGCCAACGCCCAAATGAAATCCATGCCACAAATCTGGCATGAAAAAGCTGCCAGGATTGGAGATGTCATGTGGCAAGAAGCGAATGTGCACTGGCCGTTTGTCCCACGGCTCAAGCACCCCAACTGTGGACAACCAACGAGGTCGAAAAGTTGTAATCTCTTCGCTTGGAAAATTTTCCCGACCTGCAAGACACAAGTGGCACACTCCTCGCGGCTTTTTTTGCTTCAGCACCTCGTTTCACACTGGTATTGAATGCTCGGTTCAGTCTTCCAACTTTTTGAAGGTATGGCCAATCACCCTTGACCCCGATGCAACAAACACGGAAGACATTTCCATGCCTGTCGCGAATGCCATCTTCCAACAACCGCTTCAAATCAAGTGTGAGCTCTTCCATCGCCGCGTGGAAGACGTCAGAGTCTTGTTCATACAGAACTTTCGGGATCACACTCGTGATGAAGCGGTTCGTGAAAGTGTGGCCTGCAAAGTTCACTTCCAAATGTGGAAGTTCATCCCCATTTGCCGCACGCTTGGTCCCACGTTTCTTGAGTCTGGCCTCATCAAATCCATAGCCCAGCACGGACTGAACAGCAGTGATCATAATACCGTTTTTCTTCAGCGTTCGTCCTTCATCTCCATGTGTGAAAATTGCGCATGTGCGCTCTAGTTCCTGCTCTGAAAAAACCCATGGTGAAAAGGCTAAAGTCTGGCTGCAAAGCTTCGAACTGCTTCCAAAACTTTCCCCAGACCTCAGGGGCCAAATGCTGTTTCTCAAAATCCAAACCCGCAAGCCGGTACCAAAGCCCGTGGTCCAGCAGGTATTTGAACCATGTGGTTGGAGGAATCCATGGGACCTCTGTCCCCTTTGCAATCATGCTACTAATCTCAACATCCAGCTTGGTCCCTTGCTCTGAAACCACCTTCTGCGTGCCACGCTCAGAATTTTTGAGGGATATGGAAGCCCATGAAAGAACACCAGATTTGCCAGTCGCTTGGATTCCAAATTCTTTGGCCACCGCCCTGGCAGTGTTGATCTGAGACGAGCAAGTGGCCTCGGAAGACTGGCGCCAGGCATAAACACTCAATTGCGCTGTTACCAAAAGAATCTTCCCTGTACCATTTTTGCCTCGCCCCATCTAACCCCTGAAGCTCTAAAATAGGTTGATGCAGGGAACCAAATTCATAGACTTTGTTTGATGTGTGTAACATAGGATTTGCTGGCACTTACAGCAAGGTGCCGTGGACATGAAAGACGCCTCCAGAAAAGGCTTACTACCATGTTCACAAACCAACCCAATACTTTCCAAAACGCCCTCAAGTCAATGGAGCATTGCACAGTCCTATATAGCAGGACCTACTCAGGTTCATGCAGTAGGTCTCTCATTGAACATCGTTTGTCGGCGCGTGTTTCGCAGCACATCAGGGACAGGTAACAATAGTGAGAGGTAAACTCAGAATGCTTTTACAATTTGCACTTTCTCACGTCACCAAAGGTTTCAATCCAATGATACTTAGATGTGTTCACGTGCCATGAACTTGGCATCCCCGACTTGCAGCGGCATGGAACATATAATATAGTTTCTTGAAGGTTCCAGGGTACTTGTCAAAACAGAGCAGGCAAGTCCACGCGTGGTTAGCTGCGTGTGCAGCCATGGTGATTTGGTACTGCAGGATTCTCTTGCGCACCCTTGCTGAATTAAACAGTGTGAGGTCCGAGCACCACATGCATATAGTACATAAATAACGACTTGTATTTCGTGTTTGGGACCTTGCTGTTTTTGTGATTCTGAATTCTGGGCTCTGACTTTCCTCTCACCGCGTGGCACTCGTGAGCTCTGAGGTAGCCACTCCTTCACCGACATTTGCTGCCAGCCTCCTCGCAGTTGGCCCTGGACCTGGCTAGGAGCTCTGGTTGGCAAGAGGAAGAAACCTCATTTCGGGGAATGAGACGAAAGGCTTTGAGTTGAAGGTCTTGGAGTTTTTTCCCTGCCGATTGCAGCTCAGTCTGGCTGCAGTAAATGTTCCAGGACATTTCAAATTACAAATTTGTTCACCGGGTCTGCCAAGCTCACACCTCCAGAACCATCACTAAAGGAAGCTCGATGATCATTTTGGTTAAGATCAATTCAGTACTCACCATCAAGCTAAGAAGCGTTGCACAGACCCAATACCCAGACTTGGTTTCTTCGACCATGATTTGCGAGTTCGCAAATCCTAACATCAAAATGCCGTGTTGAACAACACGTCCCAGACAGACCAATCGGCGTCGATCTGTCAAACCCCATCCAGCTTCACTCAGTCTTGTTCCTTTTCGATCTTGGCAAAATGCCGTTTTGCATTCCTGGGCTGTGGAAGAACAAAGCGGGAGTTCCAAAGGTATTCCAATGAGAAGGACAGACAACAACCCATGAAACTGCCAGCAACTAAGGATAAATTGATCAATGTGCCGGATCCGTACTTCATTCTGGGCCACCTTTGTGCACCTGAGCTGTGCGTCTCAGCGGCAGGAGGGAACGGTGGGGAAAAACACCGCTTGAGAATTTGTGCAACCACTGCATCACCAACAAAGTAAGAAGGCACACGAAGGTTGCGTGCTTCACCATGTTGTCGGATGCCTTCTTCCACCTTGGTTGTTTGAGACCATCATGGACTGCTGTGTTAGTGTGCATTGTTTTTGCTTTACTTTGACTGAGCCTGCAAATGAGCTACTCTTGACTGAATTGTTGAACTTCCCCATTGGCCAAACATTCGGAGAGCTTCAAGTAGACTTGATCCAAGGTAGCCAAGTCAGTTTGGATTTGTGCAACCGACCTGGACCACTGGAAAATGCAAGTGGGGCTTCTACTATTACCTTTTTGAACAGCACTTGGAAAGCATGAACATCTAGTAACTTTAAGTGAAAGGCCTGCACGCCAGTTGATCTGAAGCGTGGTTACGCTTGAGATCAGTGCTCAAAGATCGGAGTTTGGCCATCCTTGTGAGAACGCTGTCGCAGAACTTCTTGAAATCGTCCTTTGCAGACAACGCCTGCCAAGGGCAGCATATAGTAGAACAAAACCCTTCAACAGAGACGGCTCGAAAGGTGTGATGTGAACTCCATTGGGTTTTGCTTGCTTTTGGGAACATATGTAACCTTTGTCCAACTTGGTGGCCTGGGACTCTTGCTCACACTCTTCACCACCACGTGCTGCGAAGCGCGTATTCAAGGCATCGACCGCGCTCGTATCCACAGCATCAAAGTCCGGTTCCGTGTCCTGCACACACACACACACTAGGTCTGTTAATATATGCATTCATGCAAGGCACAAAGAGGTAACTTATCACCTGCTTAGTGAACATAAGAACACAATCCTGCACGGTGCGCTGGGTAGAACTTCGGCGCTCTTCGTTAGTGACCTCCTGCTCTTTCTCAGCACCTTCGCGAACACAGATGCAGTACTCATCCTCGCCACTGTACTTGTTTTTCCTGGCAGCAGTCCAGAACACATTCTTTGATAAGCCCAAATTGTATCAAGACCGGTTGGAAAAACCTTCCAATCCAGATTTATAAGTCAAAACCACTGAACTGCATGTTCCAAAATGTCGGCAAAGGAAAGGCGTCTTGGGTTCTTTGCCTGTGCAGTGAGGGATCGCGACTGCAAACACGGATAGCTCCTTCGACCCTCTTCCTGAGCGGCGATGCAGGTGGTATACATGCATGTCCAATAGGTGTGTTTTTAAAATAACCTATAGTCCAACAATATTATGGTTCATGCCGCAAAGGTTCACATTCCATCGCAAAACCTTGATCATATCATCCTTTGTGTACCATCCTTCTTCAATTTTGTTGCGAGCAATGTCTTTCTTGGT